ATTTTGTATGGCAACAGTTTCAATTGCAAGTAACTTTGAACGGAAAAATATTGCTGTCTGCAATTATTTACAGAAAATATTTCAACTGCTATTTGCTTTCATTGTTATACTTGTAAAATTAATTAAAAATTAAGCAATTTATGGAAAATGAAAAAAAAAACAATGGAAAAATGTAACTTTGTTATTGTCAGCGAAATTATTGCAATTGTGCGTTGAATGTTGTACTCATAATTGCAAACACTCGTTATTAACTTTGTTTAACATATTGTTTTCACATATTTTTATGCATGCGCGCAATGTGATTCCTACTATAATTTCGATACACTACAGTTGGTCTTAAGAACATATATCAAAGTTACTGACTACATATAAATAAGGTGTCAGTTCACGACTCATACTTCATTCTTTGGTTTGTTTCAGTCTAACCATTGAACTAGAATAATGGATATTCTATAGAATAATGCATTTGAATCAAGTTCGAAGTCTTATCTGTAAAACAAATATGAAAAAATTGGTTTTTTGGCCAACTGAACATAAAACGCTTTGAAATACAAACCATTATGACGGTTATTCCAAATGGAGTCAAAAAAGGTTCAACAATAATCGGCAATATGAAGTACAGTCAAACTTCCATAACTCAAACTTCTATAACTTGAATTTTCTATAACTCGAATTTTCTATAACTCGAACCAAAAACAGTGCACCAAGGTTTTAGAGAGCAAATTACATACAATTCTGCTTCCATAACTCGAACTTCTATAACTCCAATTTCTCTATAACACGAACAAAATTTTGTTTCGCGCCGATAGGAATATTTCAAAATGCATTCTATAAGTCGAATTTTCGTTGTAAGTATAAATACATTTTGCTGTTAGGGAAAGTCCATTTTTCCAAATCAAATGTTTAATTTTTTTCTCTTTTGCAGCTTCTTTGTGAAATTGCCAGTCGCTGGCAGTGTGGTTTAAAGTAAATAAAATAACCTCTAATGCTACTCTTAACGGTTATATTGTGCTTGACAATGAAATTTGTACATTCATTTGTACAGATGACGATATTATTGAGCACTATAGCTCTAAATGACTGGATCCAATTCTAAGTACAATGGAACATGATGATGGGGTTCGGTGGATGTAATTGTTCATCAGTCTTCCAAGAATGAAGTAGAAGATTCATACAAAATTCTGAATTTATATTTTCAAACGAATGATACTACAACTGTTGATTACTATAAGAGAATGAATAAAGTGGAATCTTTTTTTACTGAAAATAAGAGAAAAACTAAAGTCCTAAACCCTTATGTCTGAATATTTTACTTCACTATAAATTCTGTGCTTTATTTGATTGCAAATAAATAAATATCTTAAAATGTAATTCTAGTTTCTTTCAAAAAAAAAAAAAAAAATTTTCTAACTCCAAGTCTCCACAAGTCAAAGCTTTTCTTTGCGAAATTGCACTTCGACTTATGGAAGTTTGATTGTATATTGACACTTTTTATATCACTTAATGTAAAGAGTGAGGTCTGTAGGTTGATTATTTTCACTACAAGTTTCACGATTTTAGGTTGGGGTACATTTATAGCTTATTATTTAATAATAATTATGTAAAAAACATAGCTTATACATTTATTACAATAACATACTCTATGGACTAAACAATGATATATCTTCCGACAGTTGTTTGCCAAGTAAAACTTAATGAAAATGACGCTTTTGGTGAAAATTTGAAAGAATTGCCCGCAACGTTTCAAATATTTTCTACAAACAACTAACTGACCGATAGTAGTGCGTAACTATTTATTTGCTTTCAACTTGACTTCATTTAATTTTTTTAAATATCTTATAGGCTATATACACCTTTTACCTAGTTACAGGTACATTCTTTTTTTTTACAATAATGCTTCAGCATGCAAAAAATTTATAATATTTCTGAATGAATTCAATATTTTTGCATATTTTATTCAATAATTTAATATTTTCAATGCTATGAACATTTCTAAATATTTTTATAAAATTTTAAATAAGCAATTAACATTGATTATCTAACAAATGAGTGTTTAGATTTTAATCTAAAATTTGTAAAATGATATGTGTTTACATAGCAATAAGCATATTATTTCAAATTTTTATATATATATGTATTTAATAATAATATTATATTATCAAACAAAATGTTTTTTTTAATTTGTAAAAAATATGTAATTTGTAGTATAAAAAATATATATAAGTATTTTATTTGCTTATAAAATTGTAGGTTAGATTAAGTTATACTGGCGATCCCTAACCTAACCTTAAATTTAATCAGAATAAGTAGAATAAATAAATAAGTAAATAAAAACATGAACATAAATAAAAAAATATGTGATTTTATTTACTTAGATAAATAAGAACAGTAAAAATTCTACTGATACTGGATCAACCAATCGATAACAGAGAGAACTATACTCATAACTATATGAAATATTTGAGCAATCCAGTGTCTTTCTAGCAGTTAAATTTTAGACTTAGGCTACTTTTTGAAGAAAGCATATACTGAAGATATTATGCGTATATATTTGGATTAGGATAACACAATATTGATAAAATGTCATGAGAATTATTTATGAGTTAAATATTACATAAGAAATAAAAATGGTGTAAATACTATAATCCTCTTCATATTTTTTGTTTAATAGTATATTCGATTTATCTAGATATATCTTGATGTACAGAGGATAATCATATTTTTCATTTACACTCCTAATGACTGCAGGAAGGTATTATCTATAATATGGTATAAATATATAAATATATAAATAAATTTTAAATTTGCTTCAAAAAATAAATTTAAAACTTAATAAATTCGATTTAATTAAAGCTAACTTGGTTCTTGTTTTTATATAGATAGTAATAAACTAAGTTCTTGATCCGATTTTAATGAATATGTGCTAAGTTCAATCTGGCGGAGAAATTGACTGACCTCTATAATGTGCAACATTTCGAAAAAAATCTAACTTGCAATTATTTTCTGCATATAGTTTTTAATATGTAAAAATACTCGATAGTACGATTTCCTTTCTTAATGATGAATGCGATCTTATTTCATTTTTTTAATATAGACCATTGTTGTTAACTTAAATAAATATAATAGCGCTACAGACCCTGTGACTTATGCTCAGCAACTTGCTCTCTAGTTCAATATGTTATCACCTATCAACTTACCTGGTTATGTTAAGCCACAGTCGTCCTTTTAACGACTTTTTTTACATCTTACCAAGTATCATGTATATGGTACATACATACACATCATCAAGTAATCAAGTATTATCATCAAGTAATCAAGTTCATGTTCATGTTGAGTCTTTTTTGAGTTAGTCAAAGAGTAAAAGTGTCCAACTGTTTGATAGGGGTTTTTGCAGAGTCCCACACTTCTCACTGACTAATTTATGTATTTCCCAAAAGCTATATAATTTTCGCAAATCAAAACAATTTTTTTTTTTTATTTTTTAAATATATTTTATTTATTTGGGGATTAATTTATCTTTTATATTGCAACTAAGTTTATTATTTTTATTTTATTTACTTTTATTTCATATTTTTTTGTAATGTATTTTTGTTGTTGTTTTTGCTCTCTTTGTGTATAATTAACATATTTGAAATACTTTTATATACTTAGAGTGATAACAGTTTATCGACTTTCTATGCGCAAATAAATTTGTGTATAGATTTAATGTGTGTATATATTTTTATATGTATGTGGTTGCCAGTTTTAATTTATTGCAATTTTATTTACTTTCTTTTTATATTCACATACACAGCATATTGCCAAATATATAATGAAATTAATTATAACTACTACAATTATATTTCATGAAAATTATTTTCATATATTTTTTTTTAGTTTAATTTCATATATACCATATATATATATATAAACGTAAAATTAATTGGTTAATTTTTCATGATTTTTATTTAATTAAATTTTATATTATATTACTTATGTATATAAAACACAAATCCATACAATTTTATTATTTACAATTTACATATTTGTATATAAACAAAGTTCACGATATACAAGCTTAAAAAATAAAAAATTGTGCACAAAGATTTCCATGGCTTCGATTTTTACTACCAATTCAAGTTTTAAATTTCATTTCACATTATCGTATATATATTAATATTTAAGCTTATTACATATATTTTAAAAATAAATTACATTACAAACGACAGGAACAAATGTTAAACTTAAAACGAATAAAACAACCTAAAATAACAGAACTTCTTCTTATAAATTAAAAATTCTTTACATTCTTACCTTACGAATCTGATATGTTTTTTGTGTCTTCGAGCACAAAACACACAAAATACACAAAATTTATTTTACAAAATTACACACTATTTACAAGTTCACTTTAATTATTTAATATATGCGTGTTGCCATTTTTGGCTTTAATTTCCTTCATTTGCATAATATTGCATGCGTGGGTCTATGGTGAGTTTTATTCTATTGAGGTGAGTTTGAATTCAACAAACAAAAACACAATCCACAAGTAAATCTTTTTAAGGTTTCCTACTTTTTGCTTAAAATATTTTACTATTTTTTCATTATTCGTGAATTAATTTACTATTATTATAAATGTATTTACTTTGCATATTTCCCTTACCTCCTGCATGGGAACTTAAAAAATTATATAAAAACACAAATTGAAGTATCTTTGAACAACATAAAGTGTTTTTGTTTTTGGTATTATTTCATTTAAATTAAAATATTGTAGGTGCAAGTAATTAAACTTGCCTTTCGTTAATAATGAAAATCAACTATAATGTGTGCACTTCGAAAAATATTTAATACTTTCATTACATTTTTGCCATTTAATAAATAAATTAGTTGTGGTCTGTTTCATTTGTTTCATCTGTTTTTGTTTTTGTTTTTGTTTTTAGTTTTATACTATTATTACTATAAGCTCTGATTGCATAAGTTTTTATATATTAAATTTTCAATGGTAAAATTTTATGCTTCTTTTATTTATATTTATATAATTTTAAATCCAAATTTATTTACAATAAAATGTTGTTAAATAGCTGCTTTTGCCCTTCAAAAACGAAGAAGACTTCACTGTGCCTGCTGTGCCTCAATTTTTATGTTTGCGTTGACATGAGATTGCCAACAACTTTAAAACATAAAATCAATTTTACTCCTATTTTTGGTGTAATAAATTACGCAGATTTTTTTAAATAAAATTTTTTTTTGTTTTAAAATTATAAAATCACATTTAAATTATTGTCCGAAATTTCTTTATATTAATTTTCGCCTTATAGCACACTTCTAGAATTTCATCCACACTTCTACACATTTAAACACTTACGTACGTTTGCTGCACACATTTGTAATGACAAACTGCAGTGGGCTTATGGCCTCAACGTTAGCTTTGGTGCTTGCTGTTGCAAATGCTGTTCGCGAAATGCAATGAGCGAACGAAAGGCCGAAATTGGTGATGAATTTGTTGCTGCTGTTGCCGCATTGATATTGTGTGCAGTAGGCGAAGGTGGTGTAGGCGATGAATGTCATGGTTTACCACTTAACGACGTCACATTGATACCAGGAGATAATTTTCCTGAATTCGATGAAGTAGATGAGGAGGTGGAATTACCTGATATCGGTCCTAAATGATGCATGGGTGGCTGTGCTGTACTAGTGGGCGTTTGCACAACATCACAACCAATTGATGACGAAGTACTGGATGCTGATGGTGAAGCACCAGCAGGTGGTGCTATCTGTTGCGGATGATTGTTCGTTGTAAGACTTAATGGTGCAAAGTGTGGTCCGGCTGCTGCGCCTGTAACAGCCGCTTTCCACAGTAACGGATTCATGCTAAGACCATTATGTGCTGCTAGGCTAGCACCGAAAGTTCTTTGGTGTTCTAGAAATTCTTGTGAGGGACCTCCTAAATGTGCTGCTGCAGAGGGACCATAAAAGCTACGATATAAATCGGGACGCACATATGGTGAATAATTTGGTATGCGTGCTGCTAGAGGTGATAAAATTTTGCCTGGTGTATTATGCTGACCAGGATGACCGTAAAGTGCAGGATGTGTAGGTGGCAAATCACTACCAGGGGGACTATCCTTAATTGTATCCTTACCATCTTTGGATGCCATATCAGCCAGAGACCAGATGCGAGGTTTAGTTGCCAAACTTGCAGTGGTACTGACACCAGCTGAATGCAGGGAATTTTGTTGCGCTTGTTGATGTTGTTGTAGTAACTGTTGTTGGTGATGATGGTAAGCAGCAATATCGGGTGGTGAACCAGCAGGTGGGCGAAAGTGATGATGCAAAGCGGCGGGATGAAAGAGTGGATGACCACCACCAGGCATGCCGGGACGATCGTATAAATCTGGGGAGCCATTTGGTGAACCTGGTCTTGAACCAGACCATTCGCTGTTATTACTTTCACCAGGTCGATCGCCAAGCATATCACCAAGTCGTCCAGAACGGTCCTTATCGTCAGTGGAGCCCAGACCCGAATCTTTAGCATCTAAAAGAAAATGAAATAAAAATTTAAAAAAATAAAAAAAATTCTTGTTATAAAAATATTAATTATTTTAATAATTTGAAATGTCGTTGTAGTGGATTTTTGCAATACCTAAATCGACAATATATGTTTATGATATATAAAAATTCTCTTTCCTCTGTACTAAGGAAATTACTAATTATACTATTAAAATTGTACTAATTATGTACAGTAAAATTACAAACATTAATTTTTCTATTAGAATTGCTGTCGTAGATTAACTATATGCCAAGGGTTAATTGTTATCGGTAATATATTATTGTATTTTATGTGATAAAACTACTATTGCAAACTTCCTATTTGCATTGTCTATATTACTATTGCAAAAAGTTATTCCCAAAACAGTGTTTGAAAGGTAAAAGAATAATTGTTATGATGTACAAAATACTATGTTATATAATTGAAATATCCAGCTCATTAACAAAGTCCAGTCTATAGAAATCCAAAAAAGTATAAAACCTTTTTTAAATGTATACGCTATTCTAGCAAAGAATTGAATTAACTTGCATGGGAAACATCAATTATTTGTTTTTGTTTTTATTAGAACCTATTTGTTTATTGAAAAAAAAGAAAAGAAAATAGATATTATCAAAACTTGGTGTTTAAAAAAAAGATAATGAATTGTATTTGATTAATAGTATTTGGTATACACAATATAATGTTATAACTTCACACAGAATGTCTAGTGTGTTTATTAGACTAAAAATAATAAGATAATATGTAAATAAGTACTATAATAAATGAGAACTTAATAAAAGAGAACATAATATGATTATGAAAAGTATTTATAAACCTTATATATATGAGCAATTAGTGTATGATTAGTGTAAAATTAGTATCTTGTATAAACTATGTATAAATGAATAATTTAAACTTACCCAATAAATCATTATCATCAGTACTTTTATGATCATCGTCGTCTATATTCGCGTCATCGTCATCAACACGATTTCTTGGTTCCCATGTCATTTTATTCTCTTTTTTCAGTCTTCTTCTCGCATTTGCGAACCATGTCGACACCTGCGTCAGTGTCATTTTCGTTATGATTGCCAACATAATTTTCTCCCCCTTTGTGGGGTAGGGATTCTTTTTGTGTTCATTTAGCCATGCTTTAAGCGTTGAAGTCGTTTCACGGGTGGCATTCTTACGTCTTGCACCATTCAAATCCATGCCATAACTAGAAATATAAGAAAAGAGAAACGGAAATCTTGTAGAAAGGGTTGTGTAAAAGTATAAAACGTAATGTAAGAAAATGAAAATTAAAATACATTATCAAAAAAGCAAAAACAAAAAGTCGCAGAAACAGAACATTTGCAGGTGATTACAATAAAATATAATGCGACATAAGACGATTAAACACAGCAATTGCATGAAATTCGCTGTTGAGTTGGGGGGTCGCAGCAATGTGTTAATATACTAAAATCTGTTATTATTAATTTGTTGCTATTGCGAGAGCAATCAGTGTCGATGTCAGTGTTGCTGTTGGTGTTTCTGTTGGAGTTAGTGTTGGCATTGTCGTTTGCATTGTGTGTTTATTGTCGACATATTATTGCTGTTTATATTATTTAAATACGACAGTTAAAAGCAGCTGTCGTGTTGCAGCAATTTTATTTGCAACATTATGTATACGACACGGTGTCATGCTGTTGATATTGTTAACACAAAAGTTATTGCTAAGCATATTTAAAATTTTATTAAATTTTTAATTGTTAAAATTAAAATTTGCGATTTTAATATTACAAATTTTTATTCAATTTATTTTAGTTTTTAATGTTAATTAAATCAAATTTATTTTATCTTATACCTATTCAAGAACAAGAGAAAAGGGAAGAATTGGCAACAACTTTTTTTCAAAGTATATGTTTTTATTGTTAATAAAATTAATATTATTTTACAGTACAGCTATGTAAGAAGAAGATAAGTACTATCAATCACTATTATTCCATTTATATCGTTTTTTATTATTAACAATATTCTAAATTAAAATTATTTTAGTGTGCAAATATGTAAGATATTATAATTATAAGATATTATAATAATATTATATATAATATAATATATTAATATAGTATATATAATATAATATAATTAATATAATATATATATTAATATTATATAATATATGGCTTATTAAGAATAAGCTACATTTTACTTCTTGGAATTAAATTGAATTTCGATCATCTCAAAAAACTATCACAAATTCTTAATGAAGGACTTATTTTTTAATGAAGGAAAAAATAATTTTATTAAATGAGTGAGTATAATTTTTGTATCAGAAATACATGTTTCATAAAATGCAATATATCGCTAAATATAAAAACAGACTTCATGAAATCTGTTAGATACTTGTTATTTTTTTTATCTATGCTATATAAATTTCTACTAATCTATCATTATTCTTATTTAAACATTATAATGATTTCTACTGTTACGAAAGTAAATTCTTTACTATTCTATATTTAAACTAAAAGGATTTTCAGGTTTCTTGAATTTATTATAGTTTATAATGGTGTTAACATATGAAAAGTACTTAACTCTCATATGAAACAAACTGTAATTATGTGGTTCCAATTATTATCACTTACCCCAATTGGTTGGTCAACGTTTACTTGCAATTTGTGGTTTTTTAATATTTTAAACGAAAATAAATAAAGCATATTTTATGAAATTGAAAAAAGAAAATTTTATATTAAAATAATAACATTCTGTAAAAAAAAGGTACACACTCCACAGTAGCCGAAACACACCCACAAATGGGTTGCTTGTTTGGCAGCTAACAGCAATTGTTGCATACACAAAGTACAAAATACTCGCATTTTCAATGAAACATTGTTGCCAAGTGAGGCAGGGAATAGCGCAAAGCATGTCTGCAACATATGCTTATTATCGCTTTTGCGGCTATTTGACCGGCGGATAAACTTGTTTAATGGGTTGACTGGTCGGTAATTGGCAGTAGTAGTAGTACATAGTTGTTGGCATGGTAAAGAGGCTTACAGAGTTCAATTCAATATAGTACGGTTCGGTGGAATATTGTGCGTGGCTTGTCTGGTCTGGTCAATAACACAATTTCACTCTACGCTGCAATTTTTGTACATTTTGATATTACTGCTTCAGTTGTTATTTGTTGTTGTGCTGTTGTGTTGTTGTGGGTGGGCTATGATGAACCATGGAGTATGTGCTTAAAATTCTACAAAACCGCATAATTGCTGCAGTTTATTTTATATATATATATATTTTTTTTATACGATTATGTTGTTTTGTTTTTGCAATGACATTGGCAATTATTACTGTTTCTCTTTTTTTTTGTGTATTTTATTTTGGTTGTTTCATTTTTATTATCTTTTTTGTTCTTTTTTTTGCTGTTAAATGTTAAATGCTTTGGTATGACTTTAAGGTTCATTGCACAATTTATATGGTTTCAACGTTTAAAACTAACAGCGTATAAGCCATGTTTGTGCAAGTGCTGCATATAATTTTCTTTAGCTTAACCCTCGATCTACCGAAAATTTGCTAAATTCATGCTTTCAACGTATACGGAAAGGCTTTTTTTCTGTTAGCATGCAACACTCCTCTTTTCATGTTTTAATAAGTCGTATAGTATGTGTGCGTGGGTTGCAGCTGCACAAAAAACAATTTTAAAAATTTGCTACTTATGGCAATGTTTTGTACCTTTTTATTATTATTTTTATATAAAGTAATTCCAAATTAAAAATTAAAATTCACTATATGCAAATTAACTACTTCGTAGCGTCAAAATTGAAAAATTACAGCTAGTGAAGAAGTTAGTATAGTCAACAAAAAAGTAAGGTTGGTCGACGTTAACTTAACACATGCGCTATAGATATACTTGCATGTAAATTGCATACAATAATTGGCACAAAATAAAACCGTAGTGAGTTTGAAACTAATACTTAATAATTATTGTAAAAAACGAAATTTATATTGATAAGTATTTTCATAAACGAATTGAATCGTTGTTATAGCTAGGTTTTTTTCAGCTTTCCTTACAAAATTCTTATTATTTAGTAGTAGTAGTTTTTAATATAGCTATGTGTTAGTAATAGTTTTTAATATGCCTCTTTACTATTTTTTTTTTCCACTAATTGATTTACTATATACATCTAATATGCCTCTTTGTTATTTTTGTATCCCACTAATTGATTTACTTTATACAAGTAGTTGAAAAAATATTAAAAATTCCTTATCATATAAAAATAAAATAAGTTATTGAAATGCAATATAACTCTGATTTTAAAATATTCACACAAAGAATTTAAATTCTTTTACTTAAGAAACAAATAGTTTCAGTTGCTCTGACGAACACATAATATGCACCTTAAATGTAGCATTAAATGTTTTAATTTTATTAAAGACTTTCAACTTTTTTTAAAGCAGCAACTTTTTCATAAGCCTTTACTTTTGCATTGTAGATTAACATTTAGAACTGATGATGTAGGTGTTTACAATGACATCGACCATTTATAAAACTTACACTAATACAGAAAATTATATGAAAGCCATGTAAATTCGTTTAAAAATAACAAATATCTTTTGTCAGCTTTAAAATTTTGCATAGTTTTTTAGTTTAAATAAGAAAATATGAATCAAAATATTTTATCTGTAGAAAAATATTTGGGTAAACCGAAATTAATGAAAATAAATAAACAGAAAAAACGTATGCATTAAGATAAAAATACCTGAATTTTAACTTTAATGTGTCAAATATGACAAGTTGCCATTTTGTTATATTTTTTATATAGATTTTACAAAAAAAATAATTTAAAAAAAATTAAAGAAACATAAGAAAATTGTAATAAACAGTTCAAATATTTGCATTAAAATTTGAAATTTATTTGTATTTTTAATTAAATTTAATTTGGTTAGTAGTCAACATTTTATATATATAATACATAATAAATATGTATATGTATGTATATAACATACATTTGAATTTTCTTATTCATATTAATATTTTTTTATGATATGAAATTTATTTTTCAAGTTATGTAATTATTGTAATGTGGTTAATGTAGTTAAGTAATGTAAGTAATTTGTTTGCTAAAGAAATGTAGTCTTACATAAAAACTATCACATAACATATAAGTTGTCTTAATAAATAGAACTCATATAATTCGCAATAACAAAGTAAAACACTTCACTTCACTCATTCAAGCAGACAGTGCTCAATTTAATGCTCATGTATACATACAAAACATAAAATATTAGAGTGTTACCTAAGTATACTACAACATAGCACAAAAATGAGAGAATAAAAGTTCCACATGCCAAAAATCTATGTCTCGGTTATACATAAATAATATATTATATAGAAATTTTTTTATAAAAAGTCCATTAACTTTTATTCTAACTAATAGTGGTTAATAGCAGAAAACATGACGTTTCGACTTGAATCTCTTATAATATGACAAAGCATAAGTATCTTTTTTAATGATTTATATCTGCTGATATGTCCAGATTCAAAGCAATAGAGTAAGAGAGTAAAATAATGTGTAGTAATTCTTTTATGAAAAGTCCTTCAACTTATATAGCATCGTATTCTGACTAATAGTGGTCAGTAGCAGACAAGACGATATTTCAGCTTTAAGTTCTATATAATATAACACGTCTTAAGTATCTTTCTTAACTATTTCTATCTGCTTGTCTGTGTGTCTATTTAAAAACAATATATAGCTATTTTTTCATGTAAAGTTCTTCAACTTACATGCAACTCATTCTGACTAATAGTGGTCAGTAGCAGAAAAGACGATACCTTAACTTAAACTTCTATATAATATAACATGCCTTTAGTAACTTTTTTATCCAGTGCTACCCGCTAGTGTGTTTATGTACTATATTTTTAGTAATGCCAAACAGATCTTATATGATTTGTATTTATTATTAACAGAAATATTGTAATGTTTAGAAATTAGTTATATTTCATAAACTTGCAATCTTTATAAAGTACGTACTTATATAAATATTTAACAATTATTGGAGTAACATAGTTAAGTATGCATAAGTGGAGGATAATATTAAATATTTACATTACATTACTTACAATATTAATTTATTAAAATATTTTATCTGCAGCATTCGTAACCAGCGTACACATATTTACAGTAAATGTGTCAGACATTATTAGGATTTTTAGATTTTATCCAGTTTTTTAGGATAATCTACTCATGAAATAATTTTTTTTTTAATTTACAAAAATATATTAAGTAAATTTTCAATACATATCTCGTCTGTATCTTAAATGTATACATATTGCATACCTTAACGACACTTGCTGTTACAAACTCCATACAAAATCCATACAAACTACGCATGGAAATGTTTGCTTTTAAAGCAAAATGGTTTTGCTTGCTTGCTTTAGATAAATTTCTTATGCTTTCGTTTAATTCAAGCCTATAATTTGACGTCAGTAGCATATTTGCACATAATAAATGCTATTATTTACAAAAACAAAATATAAGACAAAATTTTGTAATAAAAATCTAAAATGCAACTCACGCAACAACTGCATATGCCGACTACTGCCAATTGAAAAGATGCATTTTTTGTCATTATGTGTGCAAAAACGTGCGAACTCCAACGCAGCATTTATGCATTTGCTTTTGCTGCTGCTGTTGCTTTTGTTTGAAGTACTTTTATGCTAAGCACATCACATGCTGAAATGCTATTTAATTTCAATTGATGATTTTTATTTTTGTACTTTTTTTATGTTTTTAATTTTTTAATTAATTATACAAAAAAATTCTTCTTTTTTATTTACTGCTTATTGACAAATTGTTAGCAAAATACATTTTTGCTATTTTGTATCTTTTACTTTATTTACTTTGCTTAGACTGCCAGTAAAGCAAAAAAAAAATGCGTGGGTTTTTGCATACTCAAGAGGCCATTTAGTAAAATAATTTTGTATCTTTTTTTTCGTTTTTTTTTGTTTTGATTTACTCTCATGTTGTGCAGCAAATCTTGTGCCATTTTCAATTAAACGTCGATTTTTATCAATTGGCGCCATTATAAGCCGCCAGCGGTAATTACTTTAGCTGCTGTTGATATTGGCGGCGGTATTTACTTTTTAGCAGATTATGATCAATATTTTCGTAGCGTGTGAGGGCGGTTGGATAATGTTGTATATGCGTTTTATATACAGTCATGCATTAAAATGTAGTTACTTTTAAGTTTATTTTTACTTGCGTTAATGCTCAAGGGTATACATTTACATTTTGAGATGTATGAAGAAAGAAAAAATTATTTTTATGAGTTTTACGGAATCAAGTTGAATTAAAATTGATATATGTTATATGCAAAAGTATAAGGAAGTTATATGTGCGAGACAAAAACTTGACAAGATATTTACAAGTTACAATAAAATCATCTGCTACAATTTTCATTTAAATATCTTTATAACTCAACAAACCCCAAACCAATGTTGAGGCAAATCCTTAACCGAGCAGCATATTTGTGACAGGGTGACAATCAACCTTAAAAGGAAGCAGTGTAACTTGCTGATGATGACTATATACGTATATATGTATTTAAAAGCAAAATGTTGTTATTTAATTTATCTTTGCTTTATTTATGTCAAGTTAATGGTAAAGTTTGAGTATGCCAAGAAACGTAAGAACAACTACTATTAAATGAATCTTTAATATTTAAAGCGTTAAACCAACAAATATCTTATTGCTTGACAAGAACTTTACAAGCAACTTATACACTTTTACAAAATATATAGTATACATATAATTGTAATTTAAAATTTACCTATTAAATGGATAACCAGCAAAGGCAGCATCGTAAGGATGATATGTGTATGGCCAAGGTGCACCACCAGCCATTAAATTCTCTTTTAAATCCAAGCCAGCCTATAAAAAATAAATAAAATATTATTTTTAACAAATTCTTTTTATTTGTCTTTAAACATAAAGTATATATTGTAAAAATTATTAATAATATATTTTGCTTCAATTCAGAGACCTTGAACTTAAATTAAATTAAAATCATGTTTAACAAATCATTAATATAAAATACAAATATACAACCATAAAGAATTTTATTATCAACTTAAAATGTCTTTATTTTTATTTTATTTAATATGAAATTCACATTTATATATTTATATAGACTTTTCATAAAGGAATGTATAATCGCAGATCTGTCGCGCGTTATAGGTGACTTTAACGTGACCTTACAACACACAACTCACAGAAAACATTTTTCTGTTTTTGTTGCTCATAATTTGCGCATCTTTCAATATAGCCGTTCAAACTTCGAAAATATCGCGGTCTATAAAATTGATAAGAAGTCACATTAAACCATCTAACATGGAGCTTAGTTATTTTAGTTTTTAATTATATTATTTTATTTAATTATTGGTGACAATTTGCGTAGAAATCACAATCATTTCATACAGCATTTGCTGATTAACAATTTCACAACTTTTGTATTGTTAAACATTGCGCATTTGTTAAGCGACGCTTGCAAAATGATAACAATTAAAATTTATATCTGACATTTGACATTATATTTTCTATGTATAATTAATGTAATAAAGAAACCTTTGCGATTATGATTTTAAAAACGTAGTACCAATTGAAAGGTACAGTTTTTAACAAAAGTTTTAAAAGTATTAGGATTCATATAGTATTATTGAAAGAAGGTATCGTGCACTGCGACCTAAAAGATCTTTAATGAAAGGCAGTATATTAAAGATTCTTAGTCTTGAACCCTTATGATCCATGAAATATCCTCCTAGGTGTTTCTTCCGCTTGTGCATCAGTGCCGGGCACACGCCAAGCACATGGTATGCAATTTCTCTCTCTTCTAAACAGTATCTGCAGTCTGAGGTGGCTTGAATTCCTTACTAATATATGTGATTATTTAATCTACATTGATCGGTCAGTAAACCCGTAATAATTCATATAAGCAATAAGTGAAAACTGATATGTTTTAAGGAACTTAAAATCTGTCATAGATGTTATATAGTTGAACATAGGGGTGATCCTCCATGATCTATAAGATGACTCATTCAATAAAAATGAGCATACATATAAAAATTTCAAAGAAACTTTTGAGTAGAGCACCAAAACCTGTTAAACACCTACTTTTTTTCTAAACTTCTTTTTGAATCTGTGAGTATGTGTATCATAAATAGTAAATAGTAAGCCTATTTAAACTTTGTACTTTATCATTTTTATACTAAAATATATGCTACTTATTACATATAGTTTTTATTTGAATGTATTATTATTATTATTTATTTATTATGTAGGTATGTGTATTATAAACAATAAGTCGCCTATTTAACCTTTACACTTTATCATCTTTAAACCGAAATATATGCTACGTATTATATGTAATTTTAATTGCAATAAAATAAAATTTTTATAGAGTCCATGATGAAAATTTAATTAATAAATTTAATTGAAAACATCTTAGTGAATATACTGCATATTTTTGGCATTCACTTACATTAAAACTCAGAAATGAATAAAATATAGTTAGTAACTTCATACAAATCCAAACGAATCTGTGTAAAGTTTCACATATATATAAATTCAAATATACTATTTATCAATTTAAAATAAAATGCAGTGTTCGAATAGAAATGAAAAGGCAACAACAAAAATTTTAGTTCATTTATTGAAATTTGGCTGACCATGCAACGCTTGTTCGAGTATTGCCAAGTATTTTATCTCTATTCGAACCCTTCTAACTTTTAAATATTGTCATAAGACACTTCATTCCCCGCAAAAAAAAAAATCACCATTATATAAAAATGCCTTTAAAAGAAACTCATATTGCTCTGCCTGCTTCGCTACAATTTCTTCTAGTATGTTAATAGGTCTGTTTATCGCTAAATGTTCATTACGTTGTTCATCACTATTATTTTTGCATGTACGTTTCAATACATATCGCAGGACTGTATTTTAGTATGCTTTTCAATAAATAATATATTTCGTGCCATTTTAATTTTTTTGAAACTTAAATTATAAAAATATTTTGTTTTTTTTATAAAATAGTTTAGAAATAGAAAAAAAAATTTTATTTAAAGATTTTAAAATTTAAACATTTCTACATATATAATATACTATTTTCATGTCACATTATTAAAGAGATTGAACATTTAGCAAGAAAGCAGATTTATAGATATTACATGCAAAACGCTTCTTTATTAATATAAAACTCAAAAAAGTGATATGAATTTTTAATTTTCATATTAACTAAAATATACTTTATATATAATATCAATTGAATAAAAATATTGTTATCGAATCTCAGAATGGTTACACGCTCCTTGGGGAGGTATGCAGATCTGAGGTTAATTATTGCTTAGTCTGATGAAGTGATGAACAATAATCCAGTCAAGGCGTAGAGAGGGGTTATGAAGAAACTCGGCAGTTAATAGAGAGTATAAGTCCTCATAGTTCACTGACTCAACTAGCCTCAACGTAATGTTAACTCACAATCGCTTTTAAGTTTATTGATAAATTTTCAAATATTTTTAAACCCAATTAACTCGAAATTTTATTTTGAAAATTTTTATAATATATAATAAATTTATTAATTAAAAATATTTATTAACATTCAAAAAACTTAGTAAAAGGAATTTCTAATTTATTTTGTATTATATACACTACTTTCATACTAATTACGTGTAGCGATTTAAACTTTATATTGAAATATTATTTACTCTAAGTCACTCTAGTGGACCACCAAATCGAAATATAAATTTGCCTTTATTATAGCTCACATGATTTTTTTTTTGTAATTTGAGTAAGCAGAAATGATTGAATATTTTGCTTTGTGAAGCAAACATTATTTCTTACATATAATAATTAAATAAAAATTACATCGTCTGCGTTAAGCATTTGTAATTCAATTACAAACAAGAAAAATTTAAAAGTATCTTTTATATACATTTTTATATATAATAATAAAACCAAAATATAAAATAACTGCAAAGAAAGTTCAATGTTGCATTCCTCATTCAAATGTTGCACTGCAGCAGCTTGGCTTTTTTGCTGTTAACAAGCAAAACTCATTCATAAATTGCAGAAGGAAACGCGTGTGCAGCAAAGCTAAACAGCAAATAATTGCCATACAAGAACAATATTGTTCCTTGCTGAATTTATCACATAATTTAATGAGATAAATTTTATACAAGACTGCACATTTTATATAGATAAAGGCAAACCGAATTTGTTATAAGAAAAAAAAATATTTTAAATAAAATATTGCACTGACAAAAGTCAAAACACCAGCAAAACTGGTAACAAACAAAAAAAAAGAAACAGTAACAGAAACTGCCAAAACATGAAAGCATCGATGTTTGTAATAATTTCAACACCTTTTTTAAGTGGACTTATATTGTGGATTGATACTATAAGTTCCTGAGAAAGATGTATTTTATTTTTTAGTAAGGAACTTGGTAAAGTATTAGAAAGTAATATTTCAGGGTTGTGCTTTGTTATGAGAAGAGCAATGGAGTTTTAGTTATTAGTAGAGGCATATATGAGTTAAATCGTTTAAAGAGTTGTCCAAAGTATTAAGAGCAAAGGAATGATAGCAATCAAACCCATCTGGCATATTTCTTTCTGGATTCACTTTTCAAAATTCCAAACATATGTAATACTTAAGATTAATGTGATTTCTGCAGTAAATAATATAAATATAAAACATAAATGTCTTAATAAATTTACTTTCCGATATATCTAATGTAGATATAAAATGTATGTACTATAGATCACTCGACTGATTTATTTTCTCCAATAAGTAACATAAATATAAGACGTAAGTTTTAAATGACTGTCCTGAGTATAAAACAAACATACACCTCTTACTCGAATAGTATTTTAGTACTAATAATTTATTTATCTCTAAAACTAACAGACTGTAGAGGTTCCTTCTTTTTTTTGGGTATAAAGTTAAAGAACATCATACTTATACTGTTGTATAAAAATGTATAAATATCAGTGTGATAAATAATAGATATCAGAAGTAGTTCGTCTTTCAAGAGATATAACTCACATAGATCTAACCATTTTAAAGAATTTGAGTTGTGAGCACTTTTTTTTCAACTGTATTGTCATTTTTATAGAACTAGAAATGCCTGCGTTAATGCCTATCATGATTATAATAGTATTTGATTCGCAAAGGTTTATAGAAAGGGAACCGTTAAAGTACCGAATAATAACAAACTAAATACCCTTACCGAAATAAGTAATAATCAAAAGGTTAAAAATTTCTTTACTTTGTTCAGAGTTTGTTATTTATTTTTTAAAGTCCATTACCATCAGTTTTGCATTTATTTATTTTTAATATTTATTTATTTATTTTTATTTATTTATTTCTTTTTATTTATTTATTTATATTTAATTATTTATTTATATTTATTTATTTTTATTTATTTATTTATAATAATTTTTTTATTTGTATCTATTTATTTATTTATATTTATTTATTTATTTATATATATAGTTTCTTTCTATATAAAATCGCGAACATTTTAAAGTTTTTGGCTTCTTCATCGGAGCTATATGATAGAACAATGGATTTTGAAAAAACAATTTTTTTTGATTATTAAGATTCTTAATTAATAACTATAAATAACATATAATTAGCATATAATACTATTGCAAGCATATATCTTTTTTGTAGTCAAAAATGTTTTGATGCCTAATGTTAACAATTTATATATATTTCCTTGTTAACGACCAATGATTTATGTCATCACAATTACATAAATTCTATATACAAATATAAGAAGAAAAACCTTTGCTCTAAATATTTTATGGAAATATTTTCTAAACTTTTTCTGTTTCTTCTTCAGCGTAGCGTAGACTTCTAGTTCCGTGCAACCGAT